GTTTACCGCGGTTTTAAATGCTGTCCTTCCCTTCTGGAAGCTGTCGGTCTCCGCATCCCTGCTCGGAACCTGAGGGATTTTTCTATGTTCAGTTTTAGCCCCTTGTTCAAAAACAGTCCTTCTGCTAGATGCGCATCAGCTGCTAATGTTGTCTGCAGGGATTTGGACATATTCGAGACGAAAATTGTCACACTTCTTCACATTTTATAATAGTATAATTTACTTAATTGATTCATGTTATTTTACAAATATCCTAATGTAGTTAGTAGTAATTTTTTGTGTACTTTCCGTATCAATGTATTTTATATATTGCTTGTTTTACCTTTTATGTTTTACTGTGTTTGTGAGTTTATCTCTGTGCTGTATCTGTAATTGGCCACCAGGCTGTTGATACAGCACACAAATAATAAAGAATTGAATTGAATTATTCAATTTATTTATCAATTTTTATCAATAATTAGTTTCCCAGTATTTTAAGATAGCTCTAATATCTTCATTTTGTGCTAGAGAGACAAATATGGGAGCCTCACATCAGAAAATAATTGATCTCAGCATCTGATCATGCATTAAAAATATCAAGGGCTCGGTCATTTCCCCCCCCCCCTCCCATTTTTTATTGTTTATTCCTGACTTTTCAAAGTTAATTGTCATTATTGTGAGGCATGATAGTGTAAATACAACATTTAGTGCCCTATACTTAAATATATACTACTTATCTATTGTCCATATGTGGAATTTGATCTGTGGTTCATAGTTTTGGCACTTCAATACCTAACTACGTACCACTATTCAAAAACTCATAAAAAGGTATGGGTAACGACTTTCATTGCTTTCTGTGCATCATTCACAAATTCTAAAAAGTGAGGAAATGTGAATTGTATAGCCGTCAGAGAAAAAAATCGTCTGAAGTGGCCCATAGTTAGGGGGTTTTAAGGTACATAGACTTATAATTTCTAAGCATATTCAGTTCCTTATACATGACATCAAAATAATATTTTATAAAGCAGCATACAATTATTTTGAACACAATATATAATTAAGGTCTGCTATGACAGAAATCACATTTTATCTATAAATATGTACTGTGCAGTAGTGCACCACACACACGATTGTAGCAAAATTGTTGCTTGACAGCCAAACATATAATATCTTACATCCAGAACAATAGAGAGCATTGTGTCTGTACTCAACACACTTCCTTAATCTCTCCATTGAATTTCAGGAGCAAAGATCAGTGCCTGAAACACATTGGGAAGACAACACCTATTTCAGAACTGTGATGTTCTCAAGTAGAGTTATACATTCTTGTGTGTTTTCACTCTTAATAAGTATTCTTAATGTAAATAAGATATTGTAGTGTTCAATACAATATTGTGCACAGATGTACTACACATTATGAGACCAGGATATGATACTAGACATGTGCTGTGTGTCATATTATCAAGGATGCTGTAGGCTCAAAGAGGTGTTATCATGTAATCCTGAAATAGATGTGGAAACCCTCAGTTAACTGAAGAAGAGGCTTATGTTTGACTGATAGATATATCATTCTGTTGATTCATGAAAGTTAAAAAATTGCTTCCACTGGCCAAAGTCTCTGGAAATAAAGCTGTCCTGTTATACACCATATAGGCGCTTGGGGGGAGAAGTTGGTTTTGCCTCTACCTGCAGTCTGAACGCACTGAGATAATACACATTTTATTGGTACTAAAATGAGTAATTACCTTTTGCAATATTGGCATTATTGGTTGGGGTCACAACATGAGACATATGGGTAGAGAAAGTCAGAAGGATGATGAAAGAGGAGAGGAGGAAGAGCAAGAAGAGAAAATGCCATTCAACACAATAATACTATAATGTGTATGACTGGCTAATGGTGATGACATGATTTTGAACAGTAGGCCAGCCATATATCACGTTATACAGAGAGGGTGTGGAAGTTGCATGCACCAGTTGTTCTGGGACCCCGTCATATGAACTGGAAACATCTTCAAGCTAGTTGAAGGTTGGGGAATTTTCTAGAATCATTACAAGGCCTTTCATACCAGCCATTTGGCTTCAGAGACAATTGACAGTTCAGATCAAATCACGTATGAGCAAGCAGTGTGTGCATTGGTGGTGAATAAATGAACAGGACAACATCACACTATACGTGTGTTAAGATGAGAAGACAAGAACAATCATTACCAGTGTGGAGGTCATATATAATCAAGTCTATGATCCAATGGCAAAACTGCCATCAAGTAAACAATTAATTGTAACAATAGTGAGCAAAATAAATCCATTTTTCAACAAGAACCCACAGATAGTTACTGATATTCATTACAATATAATGTACCTACATCTCTAAAATTTAGCATATTTCTAACATGTATAGGCCATTAAATACATGTCTTCTTTATCCAAGTAGATGGGACAGACTAAAGGGCTGTGAGAAAAACATTATACTACTGCATTATGCTTAAACAACTCTCACTGAAGCCATTCTGAGCTCTTACCTCTGGCAACCAGACATAATACATGTAGTTTGACTGGTCATGCACAATTCCAAGTCTGTCAATATACTTTTGTAATGTGTTGGCAAGTTCAAGTTCCTGAAATCAAGTCACACAACAGAAATGAGCAGGCTAAAATTATTAACCCTTAATGTACAAGTAGATAATTATTTTATCAATAAGTTTAAGCCTTTAATCATGATGAGGGAATAAATATCCAGCTAACAAGACCTTTATTTAATGTCCATGAGAAGATAATTTTCTAAAAACATGATATTACTAAAGAAGTCCTTGATTGTGGCACACGCAAACTGGTCCCACTTTATCTGTGTGGTATAAGCAGAGGACTGTTGAGGGAAAACTGATATTCTGAATTCCACGGACTTTGGATTGACACATCCAGAAGTTAGTATAAAGATAACTGTCTTCTGGGATGTTGCACCATGCAGTCAGATTGAAGTTTACTGACCATGACTGACTTCTATAAAGACCTAATATTCTGAACACCCACTGAAACAAATGTGGTGTGAGTCATAGTTTATGCGGCGAGATGTATTGGCTAGAGAAAGCCAAAACACATTGCAGAATAGAGCAGTCTACTGCATTACACTTTTGATAAGGAAATGACACAGCATTACCAGCTTAAAGTGTCTACAGCTGAGAGACATTTCCTCTTGCTAAACACATTTCAATTTAGTAAACGCAATTTTTATCTCAATTTACTTGGGTTCATAAATCCATCCATTTGGACATATATTGTTTTTTTAATGTTTGACAAAGTTTATGTAAATACAGTCATACCAAAAATGTTTTTAAAGGGTTACAATCTGAATGATCTCTTTCTATCTGGTTCTTTCCTTAGCAGCCGAACACCAGTTCCCAGAATTTTGACCTCAACTTCTCCATACTCAGTGCCATAAACTCTTATGACAGAAATCTACTTCCTTTCTCTACCCTTTCTGGACCTTGAATGCTGTAAAGGAAGCACTGACCTACATGTGGACCCCCATATCCCAGACCCACACTTGTATAAATTACTAGTAATGCTGTGTTGTCCTCATAATTTCTCCTCTCTTTACTGCCAGAACTTAAACTTAAGCGGCCCATCCACGTACGAGTCTGACTTGCGAGTCTGGCTCGGCAAGCTTGACTCGTGAGCCGGGCTCGGATATATTTCACCACACATGCATAGCAGACTCGGCTCGTGACACCCCACCCACAAACGAGTGCTCAATGGAACCCGAACCGAGCCGGACTCGTAAGCCAGACTCGTATGTGGATGGGCCGCTTTAGTGTGTCACACCTGAGTCTGAACAATGCAGAGAAATGAGCACAAATAGAGTAACACTTCATAATTAGCAGACAACTGAACTACATACTAGTAAGGAACATGTCTCAACTATCAAATTTGCATGTCCTTTCAGTGTCAAGTACACAGAATGTCTTAAATGACTTGAATGAAGGAACTCAACACAATTCAAATAAATCACTCAATGTAGAATATACAACAAGGTTATAATACTTTGGTACCTTCAGTTTTGCCGAGTGGGGTTTTTACTGAAAGGTACTCACCAGGCTGCCTGTTGGGAAGATGTGAATGCCTGAGAAATACTTCAGATTAGACTTCAATTTATGATTCCCAGACATGAAGCATGAGTGCCTTTGACTGTAAACATCTTCATGGTATATCCTGCACAGGTGGTTCCAACAAGTATCACTCTGTATTACCCTCAGCAGTTTCCTGGCTTCCTGCTACTTTTGTCTGAGCTCCTACAAAAACCAAAACTTGTCACATAGAACCACAAATTAGTGACTTCTACAATAGATATATAATTTCAAGTTGTTATAGAATTCATCATTTCAGACATTTTAAAGTAGTCAGAAGTCTACATAAATCTAGCAGAACAACCAGGCATTTACCATCCTGGCTGAAACATCTGTGCAAGAATGGCCTACGTGCATTTTTGGAAAACAGTTGCATAACAATGGCCTTAAATAGCATTAGTGCAACAACAACCTACATGATGCAGTGTACAGAACACCTTTGGAATATCAGTGTACTCCAAAGAGCACACCTTCCAACCTTGTTTTATAGTTAAATCATAAATGCTTCAATATTCTTAAAGTTGAAAAACTTGATTCCTGGTATCCAGATTTATACTTGAATGCAAATGCTATTTTTTACTGGTAGAATTCTAATCCAGAGAAATCCAGCACAGTTCTATGCACAATATATTTATAGAAGTCATCTAGGTTTGTCGCTTTCTCTGGCATGTTAATTTTCTTACTGGGTGACTCAAGCTGGATCTCCCTGTGCACTAAATTTCTTTGTAGCCCTAAAACACATGATTTATGAATACCACATGCTTTTGCTGTTAGGTCTTGACACCCCAAGAATAAGTCTGCTTTATGCAACTTGAGATGAATACTTCTGAAAGAAACATTTGATTACAACACAGGAAACAGTAACACTTACTGATAACATGATTGTTGCTGAAAGCTAGCCTGATCATGTGATATGTATTATAGCATATTATAGGGGAAAAAAAAATCCCTAAACCAAACATTTTCACTGGGACTTGACACCACAAAAGATTTTGGGTTTGTGACCTCTGTTCCTGTAATCTCCTTACTGAAACAAAATAGCTTTTGTCTGTATGCAATTCTTCAACAGTGCTAGGTTTCCAAGCTACAAAAGCATTCTCAGCAGAACTCAAACTCAGGATAATTTTCATGCCTCTGTTCCTGCAATCCCCTTACTGAAACAAAGAACTTTGGCCTTGATGCAAATTGTTTCCAAGCTACAGGACCCATCTTCACCAGGACTCTAATCCAGAACAGTTTTTGGAATTGCAGACATTATTCTTGTTATCTCTTCTTCAAAACAAAACAACTTCTGGTTTAGCAGTGTTCTTCTACGGTGCTTAGTTTTTGAGCTACAGGAACCACCCTCACTGAGACTCAAACTGAGGACAGTTTTCAAAGTTTCTAAAATCTCTTCCTGGTTCAAGGCAAAAACATGCCATGTTTGGTGCAAATCAGAATATCTGTTTCTGAGCTATTAGCCAACATACACATAAATACACACATTCACTCACAATTTTATGAATAATACAGTTAAATTGTGTTACATGAAGACATCATCTATTAAATGTTGAAAACTACTTGGAAAGGGAAAAAAATCTAACTCTTTTTATTCTCAAGCCTGCAAGTCAGAATAATTTATTTTATAATATTTGGTGAAGTGTACAAATTATGAAACTACTCACTGTAGGCAATTTTCTAGACTTCTGTGAAGTAAGCTATCTTAGGTCCAAATATTCTCCTCACGAATACCACACAATGCAAAATTACTGAAATTTGAAAGAACCTGTGACTTTACTTTTTAAGCAACACTTTGGAATCCTAGGCTGAGCGATTACTTTTTCATATGTAAGTACTAAAACCTGTTCAGGCGGAGTTGTTCACAGATGAAACCTGCCAAAGCTGGCCAAGAAATTCCCTGCTTGTATGCAAACCAAAGGTTCATCATCATATTCACAACAGTCACCAACAGACTAGCCTGAACCAAATCAGTCCAGTCCATACCTTTACACTGTTTTCCTATACCATCTATGTCTATGTCTGTGGTGTGGTCTCATGGCCTTTCAACAGACAATAAATAGACCAATAATTATACTCACATCTTTTGACAACACTGTGCTACAGCATGGAGTAATATCATCTTCAGCAACTGCAGAATAAGACTGTTGAGATTTCTGTATGGGGACAGAACCATCTGAAGCATTTTCTGAATCAGATTTAATCTCTTTTCCAGACAGTGGACACTCAGGTTGTTCACTGAATGTACTGTTAGAATTTTCTGACACATCTGCATCTGGTATTGATCCATGTAGTATGTCTGAAACGTACACACCACATTATAAGTGTACATTGCTGGTTTTAAGATGCAGCCCATAGACTGAGTGTAGAGCCAAGGACCACTGCTACTGTATGAACCCATTAAGGCTCAACTTTATTTTAATTTTCGAAAAATTAATTACTTTGTGAAACTGTGTTTTAACATAATTTCATCACAAATATAACTAATGCAATTAAATATCTTTCTTCACTCATTCACTTTCATTTATATGTTCATCCTGTGAACAAGATATTGGGCATTAGATGGTATCAAAGTAGTAACCTTATATACAAAAGTAATTATTTTTGCTTTCTGCTCTACATATTCTAAAAGGTACATCAGAGAAAAAATTTAAACAACAAAAATAATAATTTTTGCTATTGCTTCAGAAACAAGTAACTTTATTGATCAAGGCTGATCGATTAGAGGCACAAAAATAACCTGTTTAGCTTAAATATTTACATCACTTACCACTAGGATCAAAAGTCAAGTAGCGAGCAGCAGACAGATTGTGCTGGTGATGCTTTTTTACATAAAACTGCTTAACTTTGTCATATACTGACTGAAAATTACTACAGGCTCTTTTGCCCAGTTCCTGCAATTGAAATATATATATATCTAGTGTGATCATCATATAATATGTGGCAGCAAGATTTCTGATACACATGCATTTATGCAAATATACACACAAAAGATATTAAATTCTGAGCAAATATTAAGTTCCTGAATGGCTAAGGATGGGTTTTAAACAAATTTGATACACAATGAAGCAAGCTCATGGACAAGTCACACCTATCACATAGAAGGGTGGCCAACATCATCCATGAACTATGCTTTTACATAATACACAAACTATGGGGCCCTGAAGACCACAAGATACAATAACTGAATTGTATACTTTTGTTTCAATCCTGTTGTATTCTGCTGACAAACTAAGTATCAATCAGTATTGCAGTAGATGTGATGGTTATGATATTTCAGAATTGAAAAGGCTTTTTATTTGTACTCTTTATGGCAAGAGGCTTAAAGAAATAATAACATGTTTGTGTAAAGACATAAAATGTCTTCTCAGTGAGGGTGTTCTGCCCCTCCATGACAATTTGTAATCACACTCAGCCACTGTAAGTTGAGAACTTTCGCAGGAGTTAAAATGGAAAATCTTACAACATCCTACAGTTTACATGAACAGAATATGACACTAAAATTCAAACAATAAAGTTATCTGACCAATAACAATTTTGTGTCATTAGCCACAACATGAAAAATAATTTAGTTACTTACAAACAGTTGTCTGTTTCTTTTCCCATCTTCAAAATCTATGAGTGAACTGAAGCCAATCTGGATGGCTTTTATCTCCTGGGGACTGTTAACTGTCTTGATATATGCTTTTCTCCTCTTTTTATTGACATTTGTAACAACAGCTGGCCAATACACCTTGTTGCAGAGCACCCACACAATGTCATCCTTCATAAATATTTTTTCTAAAAAGATAGCAACATTTTAAATCACTGTTGGTAGTATTTGACAGTGCTGCAACCCATGGAGGATGTAAAAATATTTAACCATGGATGGGAGGAATGTAACTTCGAAGGTAAAGAAACTGTTTCTCAATATGGAACTGTTATGATGTATGCCAAACATTGTATGGTACCTCAGTTCACAAGCCACCAGATAATTCTGTACATAACTTTAGACCCAAATTGAGTTGAATTAAGACAGGCAGCAGCTTAAGAATTTGCACATCCACAGTAAATAGCTTTGAATACACATTCACAATAAATATCTTCAAAAGAATCTGAACAAATAATCATGGTCATTTCTTGACCTACCTCCATGATCAGAAGAATATTGTAACTAAAATGGAGACTGCAGTTCCTAAAAGGCTCAAACTGGTAGGTTCATGTCTCATTGCCTGTGACATTGTCAGAAATTGGTCTACTGTTCATGACTCAGCTATGCAACTTAGTGAGGAATGTGAGCCAGGGACAGTAGGTAGTGACAACGCACCTCTGCAGCTGAGGTATAATGTATATGCTACTAGAAAAGCAAAAGTATTGACTCACCAGTGAATACTGTAGCTTCTGTGGGATACCACAGAAGGGTTGCTAAGTCTGGCTGACTCACTTTCGCTCACTGACTGTGTTGTCCGATGACTAGGAGATGTGCTCAACATCATCAGAATACATAATGAATCTGCCCATTATCTCAGGAAGAACCTCAATTACTTTTTTTTTCAACATCCCTCTATAACAGCCCTCCCAATCATCTTTTGGGACAAAATTTATAGCATCTTCAGTAAGACACTGTAACCCTTAAAAGATGTCTCTAGTAGCATTGTTTTCCTTCACAGTGCACTTAATTTTGACAGGGAAATCATTGTTGCTCCATGTACTACAGGCTACACCAAATTTAAAACTAATCTCTATAGCAAGTTAGGGTATGAAATAAGAGAAACATCCATAACTAAAATGTCTCAGAAATATGGCATTACTTGCCTGGTCAGACTCAGTATCAGGGAAATAAGAATTCCAACTAGACTCATGTACCATAGCATTCTTAGCTGTGAATAATGTAAATAAGTCAAGCTTTTACAAAATATGTTAACTCACATCAACACAACAAACAGCATTATCAGAAACAATTCCCAACACAAGGGGACTGAATATAGATACTCACTTTTACTATCCTGGATTGATGAAAATGCAGGAATTAACTGTTCTTCTGAATCAGCCTTTTCATCAACATGCAAATCTGGGCAAGGGACAGATTTTGTGGAAAGAAACCCCTGGTCTTTTGACCTGAAACAATAAGAAGTGTTTTTCAATGTTTGCAGTTGTTCACTGCCATTATTGATTTTGTTCTATCTCATAATTTTGTATCTTCAATTAGTGCAAATAGAATCATAATTTAGTCAAAGACCAGGGGCTCAAATGGGATTATATTTAATCAGAAATATATGGACAAGACTTTAGATGCACAGTTCATCTACTTTTAGATACAATCTTTTATTTATAATCTTATCAATAAATGTTGTTCCAAGTTACAAATAATACACAGCTGTGGACAGTTAAACACTATTACTATTTTTTCCCCCAAGTAAAAAACCTACCTCCACTCTAAATAAAATAGTAAACATACCTAGTAATATACTGACATAATAGGTGATATAACTCCAAATAAGGTTTCAACTAGGTGACATCTGACAAATAAACTGATAAATTTTGTGTTCCTACATACATTGTACAGATAATATGTAAAGTCTGTTCTGGTGTCCAAAATACATTTAAACTAAATTTTCATGTCATGTAGACTTTTCATGTTCATAAAACAAGTAATTATACATTTACTGTATAAATACTATCTGATGACCCAAAATTGCTGAAGATTTCTGTATTAAAATGCATATATTCCATCTACAATTTGTTTTAAACATGACAAAATGAACAATGTTAAATATAATGACAGTAATTACATTTGCTCACACATTTATACAAGAGATTCTCATATACATTATCATAATTATGAATTGTTAGCAGTCTTGTAACATATAGAACTATATGGTATAATATTCTACTGATGAAAATAAATCAAATCTACATAAAACTTGATATGCATGTACACTTGTCCACAATTTTGCTTTCTTTTTGAAACTTTATACTGGGTATAAGTTGGTAATAATGCATGACAAGTAAAACAAGTATCTTAACACATTAAAAATACTGTCAACTAAAAATCATTACCACCATAAAATAATATATGAAATGACTCATACATTCTGCAAGCACCATACCACACAATGGTGCAAAATTACTTCTAAATGATGTTAAACTATTCTGCACCATACAATGTGAAGAAAATGATAATTATACTACCTTAGAAAGAAGCTTCTGAAATTGCACCTAGTAATATTTAAATCAAGATTAATATTTCATCACTAAAGTAAAGTAAAAAAAGTAACTTTACTTTACCATAAAATAAAAGGGTTCAATAACATAAACTCTTTGATATGGTACACACAATCACACCATTTCCTAATTTCACAATACTCTGTAATTATACTATTACGTTCAGCTACAATACACATTTTACTGCATACACAATTTAAGCACAGGTGACAGCACATCTGCTGCACAGGCATTTAATAAAATGCATGGGATCTCATGGTCACAAGTCTGTTTATACAACAAATCTTCACCTATGACAATTCTTACTGGCCACTCTTCCTAACTACAAACTTGACCATTATTTCCACTTACCCAATGGATGAGGTGGCCTTGTGTATTAAGACAAAAACTTTCAGAAAAAACAAAATGGTAACACTTGACTATATAAAACAGTCACAGTCCTGCCTAATTATGCTCACACATGAGATTAACTCTATGTAACACTGGATTCCACTGACCATCTAGCAGTCCACTTATTATATATGAAAGTAAACAGCTGAAACCACATTTCTTCAGAACATAAAGCATATTACACAGAAGACAAATGTTGGTACAAATTTACAGTTCTGAAACACAAAGAGAATAAATGAAACTTCAAAAATCCCAGAATTACAATACGACATAGGGATGTAATATGATACATAAAAGTCTTGTATTACACATAAAACTGGCATGTGTATATGCATCTGGGTGACTGTTTCAGACAAAATATTTCTCACATCCATTCAGTCTGGTGCATAAGCAGTCTGCAGTAGCAAATCTTTCCTTCAAATACTATACTTAATTACAATAAGATTATTACCTTTCTCTTTGTTTAAGTCCAATTTCTTCAGTTATTTCCATATCATCTTCCCTCAAGGGACTCTTTCTGCCCAATGCCTGCTCTGGCTCTATACAGTCACTTGACATCTCGGTCATAGGCTCATCCACAAGCAAGGGCATTGAATGGGGTACATTACAAATAGATTCTGAAGGTACAATATCTGTTGTGACATTACTGGACATACTCTCTGTAGGATAAGAAGTGAAAGTGACTTCTTTCTCTGTCTCTAGGTCAGAAGTTGCTTCAGGTACCTCAGAGGTATCTTCAAAATCCTTATGAAAGCTAGTCAGATCTTGGGTATTACAGGTAATCTGAGAGGAATCCAGAATTTCTTCAGATGAATTATTTGTCACAATTTTCTCTTCAGCACTAGTACTTTCTGGTATTTGCAAATAACATGCGTGACGAACATATTCATCTGATGTTGCTGACCGACGGTCTGCCTGCAACTGGGAGGATGAAGAGTCACTTGGTATTTCAGAATTGTTTTCAAAAGTGGTCTCATCAGATGTTGTAGGGTTCATCCCCAACTTATGAATGGCATTATCTGAAATATCAGTCATGCCATCTGTAATTTCAGTAAATGATGGCAGGGTTGCAGCAACCTCAGTTTGTGAACTGGCTAATGGGCCTGATAGTTCAGAGATGCTTTCTGAGACATGATCATAAGAAGTATTTGAACTATGATCTGAGGCAAGGTGACTTGATGAGGAATGATTAGTATCTGAAGTACTGTTGTCCTCAACAGCAGCTTCTGAAGTGCCTTCAGGTGTTGAATTACAATGGGTTAGTGTTGAATCCAGAATGTCACCACTGCCCGAGACATGATCGTGCACAATCGAGACAGTTTGCCCTAATGCAGACTGAATTTCGGGCAATGTCTGCCTCTCGTTAGAATGAGCCACAGTCTCTAGTGTACTTCCTGAGTGTTGATGGTGTGATGTCAGGTCTAATGAACTTTGGATGTCAGATAACTCATTCATATGATTCTCTTTGTCCTGACATGTACCTTCTGGGACAACAGTGTAAGAAGTCAGAGCAGGGTGTCCTGTAGCAGACGATGTTATTACATCTTCAACATGACTGCTTACTGCGTCTTGTATCACACCATCAGATATATTTTCAGGGTCTTGGCTGTATGAAGTGTCTGAATGGCTTTCAGGCTTGGCTGGTGAACCTGAATTTGGTGGCACAACTGGCGAACCATCGTCAATTTCACTCTGGGAATCTGTTTCTTCAGATAAGAGGGGCATTGATGGATTGAAATTAGCTGCAGAATCTGTACTTCGTTCAATCATGGTTAATGACATGCTTGAACTGGAAACTACAGTTTCTGCTGTGGTGTTTTCTGACAAGCTGCATGAATTATGGGAAGAGACAGTTACAGGAATACTGGGATATGACTGTGAGGTTACAGAAAGGGCTGGCTGAGTAATAGTAAGGGGTAATTCCAATGAAGCAGGAACTGTAGGAGGAGCCTGCAATGTTGGAAGAACAGTAGAAGGTACTTCTAGAGGAGACATGATGGGTTGATTCAGAGTTAGTGAAGTTTCCAGTACACCAGCAGTATTTGATGGAGGTGGGAGTACTGATGACAAAGAAGGCAATAACATCGTGGCCTGATGAAGGGTAGAAGGAGACGATGTTAAAAGAGAAGGTGGCTCAAGAAGTCGTGGTGTCATCACAGTAGACTGACTGCTGTTCACTACTGTAAGAGAATCTGGTATTGCACTATCAGGTTGGAAGACTTGTGTATTAGCCAGAGCTTCTGCTAAAATATCTTGATTGGGGCTGCTGGACTGTGTTGCAGTAGTGCCCGAGACATGAGGAGCAGATACAATATTAAACACAGATGAAGCTGAAGAATTCTCCACTGCAATACTTGTTACAGGATTTACAGGCATTGTATTTGCTTGTCCGAGGTTCAAAACAGTTCCTGAACTTGAAGCAGAGTTATCTATAGCCAGAATGATGTTCTCAAGATCCCCAGTTGCACTTATAGATGAAGGATCAATGTAGAGGGTTCGTGCAGCTCCCTCACTAACTTGGGAACCACCATCATATGTCAGAAGTGTAGAATTGTCATATGATTGCAGAGTGCCAGGGTCATCAATTGTTACTAATACATAGGTAGCAGTGCCACTATCTCCCAGCTGCTCTGCAGGTGTAGCTGCTACAACTTGTGCTAATTGTTGAGGGGTCAGAACTGATGTTCCAGCCACTGAAGTTGGTTGGAGACTAGGCAAGCTTATGGTGCTGCCCTGACCGACAGATATATCAGCTGTTTTGATATTGCTCTGAGTGGAAAGAACCAAGTTTTGTTGTATACTTAGTGCAACTGTAACAGAGGGCTGTAATGGTTGCAAACTTGAGATTTCTGCATTAGACTGTAGATTTGTTGTGGAGACTACAACTGGAATTTGTTTTGAGGCAATGTTCACATCTGATATTCTTTGTTGAGGTACAGAATTTTTTGTGGTTTGTGATGAAGTAACTGCTTTCTGAACAGACTGTAATGCAGACATTTTTTGGCTGGTGGTCTGACTTAGTTTCTGTATGGATGGTGCTCTAGGGAAAATGCCACTTACTTTCTTCACCTGTGACACATTTGTTAGTAAACCAACGCTGCCAGCTTTGGCAGGCAATGGGCTTTGTACCTTTTGTACAACCATGCCTGGTGAAACTGTTGGTCTTATTTGAAACACTTTTGATTGAGTCTGTGCACTCTGAACTATTTTTGATCCACCAGTAGTTGATACAGAAACTCTCTGCACAGAAGAGGCAATACCAGGATTTGTCAACATTTTTGGTTTTGGAGATGAAAGTCTTGTTATGGATTGAGATGTGCTAATATTAGCCTGTAACTGTCCAATAGTTGTTGCTACAGGTTTACCAAGAACAGTTCCTGAAACTGTGGTTCCTTGCGTTGTCTGAATGAGTATTGTATTTGACTGAGGTTTCAGGGTACCAATAACTCTCACTGGAGAACCCTGTGCTACAGAAGCCTTCTGCATTGTTGGTAAAATTACCTTTGCTTGCGTGCTCTGCATTGTAAATTTTGTCCCAAGAGTTTGTTTCCCACTCTGCAGAGCCCTCATCTGCTGCTGACTTATTGGCGTTAATTTTGTACCTTTGGTCACAACACTTCTTGGGTTTAGGATTGCACCAGTACTAGTCACTAAACGCTGAGGCTGAGCCTGCAATTTTCCACCTGCAGTCAGAATTCTTTGTTGATGTGGAGAAAGTGCAGTTGTAAGAATCTTCTGCTGACCACTGCCTTGTGGTTTGGTTAAAATAACAACTTTGCTTCCTCCAACTGCCTGTTGCATTATGTGCTGCTGTGTAACTCTCTGCTGTGTTGTTTTCCCAACAGTGTACCTTGATTGTTGACCTGGAGAGGCCTGCACAATAACCAGTTTTCCTCCAACATGACCTTTCTTGGATATTACTGTAGTCCCTCCTGTACCTTTCAGTTTGCTTATGGCAGAAACAGCCGCACTTGTAACTGCAGCAACAGCCGTACTTGAAGCTGGAGCAGCTGCAGACTGCTGCACTTGTACAGTCTTTACAGGGATGCCTTGTGCTGCTTTCATATTGGCACTGCCACTGTTGCCTGAAACCTGTAAACTGCTCTTTGATACAACAACACAAGTTTTAGAAGATGACACATCAGTGGTAACATTCGTTACAGTTGCACCACCTTCATTTATACTTGCTGGCTGAGACTCTGTTGAACTTGGAATCAAATCTATCATTGGCACAGAAACACCTGCAATATTATTGGCCTCAGGTTCTTCTGTGATTATGGCATCAGTCATAACCACAGGCATAGAATTTATGTCCAGCTCCATGTCTTCATCTTCCAAAGCGGTATGGGCATTTCTTACTGTACCCTGAGGTTCAGAATCATCTACTTTTATAGATCCAAGTTTGCTTTCTTCTGGCTTTCCCTGCAACTCCTCCTCTTCTTTTTTGATACTATAATCATGGTCACCACCACTACTTTCAACATTCGTCAACTCTGACACAGTAGGTACAAAACTGTTTGTATCAAGAACAGTGTGGCTGTTGTTGCTGTTGAGGACAACATCTGGGAGAGAAGAAGAGCTGCCAACTTCAAGCACAGGACTGGTAACATTAGTACTGGGCAATTCAGGAACTTCAGGTAGGGCTGGTACAGTTGTTTCTTCTAACAGGGTCTTAAATGCGGTATCGATGTCCTCGGAAACAACGGAGGGTGCATCTATTTCTGTCTTGATTGTTTCTACTGCAGATGTTTCTGTCAATGGTTCTACTTTTGGGATGGGTGGGAGAGGTTTTATATCATCTGCTACATTCCAGCGTTTTGATAGTGCTTCAGTTTTATCGTCTACTATTCGAGATATTTTCCTATTCTCTACAAATTTCTTGGCTCTTTCTTCCAATTCACTGCCTAAATTAGCATCTTCTGCATCATCAAAATCAAAGCAAGAAATTTTCTTAGGTTTCACATTCTCTTCTGAACCACCAGCTTTTGTATCTTCCATGCTCTCACTTGCAAGAGTTACATCAGATGAATGCATGCTAACCAACTCACTTTTACACAGTTCTTGTTTAATTAATTCAATTTCTTTTTCTTCCTGTTCTTCATCTTCATCATCCCAATCAGCGAACAGTTCCTGAAACTGTGGTTCCTTGTGTTGTATTTGACTGAGGTTTCAGGGTACCAATAACTGGAGAAGCCTCTGCTACAGGAAGCAATTTTTCTCGAATCTCTTCATCATTTTTCTTCTTCTTTGCAGGCCTTTCACCTCCCCATTTAGAACCTTTCCTTTTCCCAAAGACAGGGATCTTAGGTGATTTCCTTTCTGGAGTTTTCAACTGTTTTTCT